CGCACCCGGCTGCCCCCCCTACTTGAGGTCCATGAAGCGGATGTCCATGATGAGCAGGAAGTTCTTGGGCAGGGGCCGCGGCGCCGGGGACAGCACGGTGAAGACCTGGCGCTCCAGGTCGACCCCGGTGACCACGATGAAGCCGGCCACGCTGGTCTCCGAGATGTTGTCGTCAGGGCCGTCGGCCGTGCTGACGCTCAGCAGGTGGTGCACCATGTCCCGCCCCGGCGTCACCGGCACCAGCTTCAGCTGGTTGTCCTCCTGCGACATGCCCAGCGGCAGGCACGAGTCCGGGATGGTGGGCGCGCCCACCTTGTAGATCTTGACGTCGGAGAACTTGACGTCGAAGGCGTGCGGGTAGAAGCAGCCGCGGAAGCCGTAGAAGTACTCGCGGATCCGCTCGTCCCGGCACTCCCGGCGGAAGTCCTTGGAGCGCTCCACCACGCCGCCGGACTTGGGCAGCAGCACGGTGCGCACGAAGTGCGGCAGGTCGCGCTTCAGCTCGTTGTACAGGCGCTCCTGGTCCAGCACCACCACCACGTCCACCTCGAAGGCGGAGGCGGCGTGGACCAGGGCCTGGTAGCCCGAGCTCTTGACCCAGCCGCAGGTGTTGATGACGCAGCCGCTGACGGAGGCGCGCCGGTTCACCTCACAGCGCTGGTTGAACACGTCGGCCAGGCGGGACGTGATCTGCGGGCACAGCGGTCACAAGGGGGGAGGGGGTCACCTCAGGAGCACCCGTGTGTCCCTCCCCATCCCACCCCAAGGTCCTTCCGTACCCACCCAACGCCTTGATTCCGGGCAGTCACCCCAGGGGAAAAATCATGGAATGTTAAGGGTTGGAAGGGACTTTTAAGGATCATCCCATTCCGACCCCAACAGCTTCCACTAGCCCAGGTTGCTACAAGCACTGTCCAGCCTGGCCTCTGACACTTCCAGGGATGTGGCAACTTCCAATGTCTCACCACTCTCATGGGGAAGGATTTCTTCCCAATATCTAGCCCATATTTCCCCTCTGTCAGTGTGAACCCATTCCCCTTTGTCCTGTGACTCCAGTTCCTGGGGAAGAGTCCCTTCAGATACCAGGAGGTTGCTCTGGGGTCCCCACACAACCTTCTCCTCCCCGGCCTGAACAGCTGCCCCTCTCCCAGCCTGTCTGCACAGGGGAGGTCCTCCCGTTCCCTCATCAGCTTCACATCCTCCTCTGCACTTCCCTCCCCCCAGCTGGGGAGGAGTGACTGCACCAGGGCAGCAGAGCCAGGCCCTGTCCCCAGGGCTGCAGCCAGGTCAGGGTTCTGTCCCCAGACAGCCCCCCCCCGGGTGCTCAGATCCCCCCAGCCGGGGGGCTCGGGGCAGGGAACAGCCCAGCCGTGGCCCCTCATCCCCTCTCCCCTCCCCGGAGGGGCTCCACCACATCTGTCCCCCCGCCACCCTCCCCGCATCCCGGGGCACAGGGATCGTCGGAGCTGCTCCCAGCCCCCGGCGGGGGGGGGGGATCTCCCCCGGCGCTCACCTTGTTGTAGAGCTTGATGTTGGTGCCGGGCGTGGTGGAGCCGAAGTGGTAGACGAGGGGGGCCTGGAGGGAGAAGCCCTCCTCCACGTCGGCGGGGCGCTCGATGTACAGCGCGCCCATGGTGCCGGGGATGGACACCGAGCCCTGCCCCACGTCCAGCTCCACGAACGTGGGCCGCCGGCCCAGGCGCACGGCGTAGTTGAGCAGCAGGCGGCACACGGTGGTCTTGCCCACGTCGGTGGGTCCCACCACCATCACGCGGGGGCCGCGCTCGTCGTCGCGCTCGGCCTGGCGCCGCATCTGCTCCAGCGCCGTGTGCGTGTTCAGGTACAGCAGCATCGGCGTGTCCCGCGACACGTAGGCCACCTCGGTGCGGCCGCTGAGCTGCACGGTGCAGCCGTGCCACGTGAACACGGCCACCTTGGCGCCCGCGTCGAACGTGAACTTCTTGTTGCGGGTGAGCTCGGTGCCGAACACCTCGGCCATGCCGGTCAGCAGCTCCAGCTGCACCGTCTGCGCCGCCTCCACCTCGAAGCGCAGCTCCGTCTCCCGCTCCAGCTCGAACTTGGCCACCTGCTTCTTCTCCTCGCCGCCGTCGTCCGCCATGACACCGCCCCGGGGCTCCCGGTACCGGCGCCCGCCGCCGCCGTCGCGCCGGAAGTGACGCGTCGGAACGACGCGACGGCGGGAGCGCTGGGCGTCCGCGTCACGTGGCGCTCCCTAATCACGTGGGGCGCTCGGGTCACGTGAGGGTCTCGGGTCACGTGGGCGGGGAGCCGTGGTTCGTTTGCATCTCATCTGCATATCGTTTGCATCTCATCTGCATATCGTTTGCATTTCGTACGCGTATACGTGTGTCCCTGTCTGCATTCCGCCCTCTCATTTGCATCTCATGGCAGTGCCTGTGCCTCCCCCC